TCAAAAAAAAAAAAAAAATCCCAACTTTTAGTAGTCTCTTAGTGATGCAATAACAGTAATTTGTACAATCTTTTAAAAATTATCTGTTTCCAAGAAACTTTTTTTGTTTTGAGACAGGGTCTTGCTCTGTTGCCCAGGTTGGAGTGTAGTAGCGTCATCCTGGCTCACTGCAGCCTCCACCTCTCAAGCCCAAGCAGTACTCTTACCTCAGCCCTGCAAATAGCTGGGACCGTAGGGACATGCCACCATACCTGGCTAATTTTTTTATTTATGTAGAGACAGAGGTCTCCCTATTTTGCCCAGGTTGGTATTGAACTGGCTCAAGCCATCCTCCCCCCTTGGCCTCTGAAGTACTGGGATTACAGGCATAAGCCACCATGCCCTGCCCTAAATAACTGTTAAACTTGAGTTAATGTACTAGTAGACCCTTAGAAAATTATATTTTTCTGCTTGCAAGTCTTCATTAAAGAAGGAAATTTTTTAATGTTTTATAGTATAATGCTCTCCAAACTCATTTTTTTAAACATTTTATTATGGAAATTTTCACAAATACACAAAAAGAATAGCAGAATGAAGCCCCGTGTAGCCATCCTCCAACTTCAACAGCTGTCCTGTGGTCAGTCTTGTTTACCTGCATCCCCACCTGTCCCCTGCCCCAACCCACAGGGATCAGTTTGAGTCCCATTACAGGCATAGTATTTTCGTGTCTGTGTGATCAGAGACATAATTCAAATATAACTCTAAAGATAGGGTACTTTTTAGAACATAACCACAATACCATTGTGTAAGACTGCTAAAACATTTTTTGATGCCAAGTATCAGTCAATATTCAAACTTCCCTGATTGTCTCATAAGTTTTTTTTTAACAGTTGGTTTGTTTGAATCAAGATCCAGACAAGATCTAGATCTTGCATTTTGTTAATCTAACCTATAGATTTAACTTTCCTGTTTTTAATTTTTGAAGAAACTAAGTTCATCCTATAGAATACACCACTGCACCCCAGCGTTGGCGACAAAGCGAGACTATCTCAAAAAAAAAAAAAAAAAAAAAACTGTGGTTACTCTTCTCGAAAAATGCACAGAAAGTCACACAATTTTACATACAGTTTTAAAGGGTTCACAGACCCGTGGGGGGTAGCCATTGGTTTAGATAGTTTAACAGTATCAGAATATGAAAAGGGACTTAATTTCATTTTTTGTATAATTAACTTCTTACTTGAGGCAAAAACTTTAAAAGTTTTTAATAACTTTTTTTAATTTCATTCTAGGTGTGATCCCTCACATCCACAAATCTCTGATTGGAAAGAAGGGACAGCAGAAAACTGCTTAGAGGGATGCTTTAACCAACCCTCTTCCTCCCTGTCGTTGTACTGTAACTGGGACAGAAGAAATAATGGGGATATGTGGAATTTTTAACAACAGTTAAATGGAAAAGCATAGACAATTACTGTAGACATGATAAAAGAAACATTTGTACGTTCTTAGACTCGAAGTTTGATAAAAGTACCTTTTCATGTGGTGACAGTTGTGTGTTGATTGGCTAGGTTTCTCCCGCGTGTTTTATACAAAAATGGAATTGATAAACCATTTTTTACAAAATTAATTTGTCTCAAAACTGTTCTGTTCATGATGTATTAGAAATATTTTGCTCAGACTTTAAATATTTTAAATCTCAGATTGGTTATTCAGAGTAACCTTGGAACAGAAATTGGGAATATAGCTTTACAATGATTGATACCATGGTATATTGACTCTTACATGCTATTGATCTGTAGCACCATTTTTTACAAACCACTAGGAAAAAAACCTGCCAATTAAATCATGATACACCATCAATTATGAGACATCCCAATTTGAGAGATGTTAGATTATGGAAAAGTGTGCATTTATGACTGAAATGGTAATGGAATTATTTGAATTCTATACTGAGCACTTACCATTTGCCAGGCCCTTTGCTGAGTACTCTACTGACTAAGAAATTTTATTCCCCCCACATTATAGATGTGGAGTCTAAGGGTCACAGAAATTGTATGCTATGCCAAAAAACATTCAACTAGTAGATAGAGAATGACAGAGCTATGATTCAAACCTAGATCTGGCTGACTTCAGAGCCTGATGTTCAGTTTATCAAAGGTTTTTCCTTTTGGTTTAAAATCCCAATTTTTGGCCAGGCATGTTGGCTCACGCCTGTAATCCCAGCACTTCGGGAGGCTGAGGCTGGTAGATCACTTGAGGTCAGGAGTTCAAGACCAGCCTGACCAACATGGTAAAACGCCATCTCGACCAGGCACAGCGGCTCATGCCTGTAATCCCAGCGCTTTGGGAGGCCGAGGCGGGCGGATCACAAGATCAGGAGATCGAGACCATCCTGGCTAAGACAGTGAAACCCCATCTCTACTAAAAAAAGAAAATAAAATTAGCTGGGTGTGGTGGCACGTGCCTGTAGTCCCAGCTACTCGGGAGGCTGAGGCAGGAGAATGACGTGAACCGGGGAGGTGGAGCTTGCAGTAACCCGAGACGGCACTACTGCACTCCAGCCTGGCGACTGAGCAATACTAGGTCTCAAAAAAAAAAGTCTCTACTAAAAATACAGAAATTAGCCAGGCATGGTGGTACATGCCTGTAGTCCCAACTACTTGGGGCACTGAGGCACAAAAATCACTTGAACCCAGGAGGCAGAGGTTGCAGTGAGCCAAGATCACACCACTGCACTCTAGCCTGGGTGACAGAGTGAGACTCTGTCTCAAAAAAAAAAAAAATCCCAACTTTTAGTAGTCTCTTAGTGATGCAATAACAGTAATTTGTACAATCTTTTAAAAATTATCTGTTTCCAAGAAACTTTTTTTGTTTTGAGACAGGGTCTTGCTCTGTTGCCCAGGTTGGAGTGTAGTAGCGTCATCCTGGCTCACTGCAGCCTCCACCTCTCAAGCCCAAGCAGTACTCTTACCTCAGCCCTGCAAATAGCTGGGACCGTAGGGACATGCCACCATACCTGGCTAATTTTTTTATTTATGTAGAGACAGAGGTCTCCCTATTTTGCCCAGGTTGGTATTGAACTGGCTCAAGCCATCCTCCCCCCTTGGCCTCTGAAGTACTGGGATTACAGGCATAAGCCACCATGCCCTGCCCTAAATAACTGTTAAACTTGAGTTAATGTACTAGTAGACCCTTAGAAAATTATATTTTTCTGCTTGCAAGTCTTCATTAAAGAAGGAAATTTTTTAATGTTTTATAGTATAATGCTCTCCAAACTCATTTTTTTAAACATTTTATTATGGAAATTTTCACAAATACACAAAAAGAATAGCAGAATGAAGCCCCGTGTAGCCATCCTCCAACTTCAACAGCTGTCCTGTGGTCAGTCTTGTTTACCTGCATCCCCACCTGTCCCCTGCCCCAACCCACAGGGATCAGTTTGAGTCCCATTACAGGCATAGTATTTTCGTGTCTGTGTGATCAGAGACATAATTCAAATATAACTCTAAAGATAGGGTACTTTTTAGAACATAACCACAATACCATTGTGTAAGACTGCTAAAACATTTTTTGATGCCAAGTATCAGTCAATATTCAAACTTCCCTGATTGTCTCATAAGTTTTTTTTTAACAGTTGGTTTGTTTGAATCAAGATCCAGACAAGATCTAGATCTTGCATTTTGTTAATCTAACCTATAGATTTAACTTTCCTGTTTTTAATTTTTGAAGAAACTAAGTTCATCCTATAGAATTGTCCCTCAGTGGACTTTACTGAATGTATCCTAATGGGATCATTTACACCTTTTCTGTCCCCTATATGTTCTATAAACTGACAGATCTAGAGGGCTTTTGTTGTTCTGTTTTGCTTTTTCACAAAAACAATTCATAGGTGATATATGCTCCCTGTTGTATCACATCACGGCACATAATGGCTCTCATCTTGTAACATTAAGATTGATAGTAGGTTTGGATGCTGCCAGCCCACTCCATTCATTATAAAAGTTCTCTATCAGCTTTTCCCCTGATGGATTTAGCCATCATTAATGTTATTTGCCGAGATCTGGGATTCTATCAGAGGCCAACTGGTGATATCTTGTCATTCCTTCTGCATCTATTAGCTGGAATCCTATAAAGAACTTTTGCTCATTAATTCACAAGGCAGGATAAAATAGAAATTTCAAATTCTGATTGGATTATCTAGGCACCCATTTTGAAGTTTCTGTATTGAGAGTCAGGCCTACAGTAAAAGTAGCAATGGAAAGCTGATTGTTTTAAAAAAAAAAAAAGGGGGGGTGCAATATAATCAACAGACCCTCCTTTGGCTGAATCACTTGATTCAGGGCAATTTTTACTACAGTTTTATAGATAATTGCTTCAAATGTCTAATTCATTTTGGCTGGATAGTTACTTGACTACATAATTTCTTCCCAGGGTTGTACTTGTTTTCTAACAAAAAACGCAGAAATAGAACAACTAGGCCAGGTACTCTGGGCCTAACTCTCACAGTTATCATCAGTCTTGTTTCATTTGTACCCAACCCCATGAGTTATTTTAAAGCATGTTCCAGATAGCATATCACTTCATGTATAATACCTTAATACATATCTAAAAGATAGCTTTTATTTTTTTTTTATTTTTTTTTTTTCCCGACAGAATCTTGCTCTGTTGCGCAGGCTGGCCTGCAGTGGCACGATCTCAGCTCACTGCAACCTCCACCTCCCAGGTTCAAGTGATTCTTCTGCCTCAGCCTCCTGAGTAGCTGGGATTACAGGCGCCTGCCACCATGCCTGGCTAATGTTTGTTTGTTCTTTTGTTTTTGCTTCTGAGACAGGATCTCACTCTGTTGCCTAGGCTGGAGTCCAATAGCCTAATCTCAGCTCACTGCAACCTCTGCCTCTCCTGCCTCAGCCTCCCAGGCAACTGGGACTACAGACATGTGCCACCATGCCCAGCTAATTTTTGTGTGTTTTTTGTTTGTTCGTTTGTTTAGTAGAGATGGGGTTTCACCATGTTGGCCAGGCTGGTCTCAAACTCCTGACCTCAAGTGATCCACCCGCCTCAGCCTCCCAAAGTGCTGGGATTACTGGCATGAGCCACTGTGCCCAGCCTAAAAAGTATTTCTTATCATTAAAAACAACACCCCGTCTAACTAGTGTAACACCTAAGAAATCATTAGATCTGTATTTTAGGTAGTACAACACAGTGAAGTGCAATGGCACTTCAAGCAGAGAGAAGGACTTCTTTTTCTTTTTTTAAATAGAAGGTGTGAGAACCTGAACTGGGCCTGGTTTGCATTTGGGAAGAGTGCAGTGGGGAAACAACACAAATAAGGTCTTGAGAATGAAGAATGGCGTTTATATGGGAAGTTGTAACAAATGGCCTGGAGAGTATCTGACTCTTTATGAAACATTTAATGAGAAATGTGACTTGCTTTGGTGCCTATGGTTGAATTTATTGCGATGCTTCTGACATTTTATTATGAAAATTTTCAAACATGCAAAAAAGTTATAGTAGTTATCCAGTGAATTTTTATACTCACCACCTATATCTATAATTAACATTTTACTTGTATTTTATCTAGTTATCAGCTCATCTATGAAATGGCCCTTATTTATTTGCCTGCTGTTTTTATTCTCTATTTGTCCTGTTATTTCTTATTAGAGAAGAGAAGGTGTTCTTAGATCAGAAGATGTCATTGTATTAGGTGACTGCAAGGTTTTGGTGATCTAGTGAAACAAGATTCTACTGGGATGTGTGCTGAGCTGAACCAAGGAACCGCCCGAATGTGCTGAACAAGGACATTTGCTTCTCAGATACGTGAATTCAATTTTAAGGAAGACTCTTGATCTGCTTCAGAGCAGCTTTGATTTAAAGTAATTTCAGAGCACTTTTCCTTGCATATGAGTAATTTTCTGAATGTATAAAATGTTCTGTTTATGTTTGACCTTTCGGATAAACTGTGTTGCTGCAGTGTTGGTCCACACTACCATCCTGAGTGAAGACTTAGTAAGTCTGGGGATCTCCAGGCACTGGAAAGGGTGAGAACCTGGGAGTGAAAGGGTTATAGTTAGTGTCTGTTTTTCAGGTTTTGTTTCATAGGGAGTCCTGAGTGGGGTAACCTGAAATGTGTAACAGTTGAAGACCATCCCATTCCTATCCCCAGTAAAAATAGGCTTTTCCACAATCTTCTACCAGTTAACTTAGCTTTCTTTTTCTCTTCAATAGAGGCTCACTCTTGTCACCCAGACTGGAGTGCAATGGCGCGATCTTGGCTCACTGCAAGTTCAGCCTCCTGTGTCCCAGCGATTCTCCTGCCTCAGCCTCCCAAGTAGCTGGGATTACAGGTGCATGCCACCATGCCCAGCTAATTTTTGTATTTTTGGTAGAGACGGGGTTTCACCATTTTGGCCAGGCTAGTCTCAAACTCCTGACCTCAGGTGATTCGCCCATCTAAGCGTTCCAAAGTGTTGGGATTACTGGCGTGAGCCACCAGGCCCAGCCAACTAGCATTTCTTAAGGTGAAAATACATGGTGTTAATTTATATTTTGAGTGAGGCCCAGTCCAGCTGCTATAACTGCTTGGACACTTGGCAGAGGACAGAGTACTGCAAAACTTTTGAAGGGAGAGGGCATTTTGCCTTGAGTGCTGTAGATGTACAAGAAAGGTTCCAGGAGGGGGTGATAAGCAGAATTTTGGTCCCCATCACCTTCCATGCCCAGTGTTATGTCTGTGAACGTGTTACATTATGTGGTAAAAGGGACTTTGCAGATGTAACTAAAATTTCTAAAATAGAGATACTATCCTGGATTAGCTGGGGGAACCCAGTATAATTACACAAATCCCTAAAAATGGAAGAGGATGCAGGAGTCAGATTCAAAGGAAGGCTCAAGGTGCTATTGCTGACTTGAAGATAGAGGGGCCATGTGGAAATCAAGAGAAGGAAGTGAATCCTGCCAGTGAGCTTGGAAGAGCACCTTGAGACACAGATGAGAATCTTGGCCTTACCTGATGCCTTGATTTTAGCCTGGTGAGACCCAGAGCATATAAATTTGTTGTGCTGTGCCACACTTCTGACCTACAGAAACTTGGTTTAAAGCCACTAAGTTTGTGGTAATTTGTTAAAGCAGCAGTAGAAAACAGAGGAATTTGTGGGCTTTAGGCCCCTGAGGGTAGAGATTTATGACTTGTTACAAGTAGAGAGCAGTGGAGAGTTGGGCTTTGTAATTCTTTCAAGGGTGATTATAGTTCTGGAGTCCTGTCCACCTGGGTTCAGATCTTTGTTTGTCAGTCCCTGGCTATGTGACTTCACTGCTTTAAGCCTCTGCCTTCATCCTTAAAGTAGAAATGATAGTACCTACCTCACTCTGATCTCTGAATGAGAACACACGTAAGACACAGCACAGTTCCTGGTGCTCAAAGACCTCCAACACCTGAAAGCACCATGACCCCATTTTTCAGTCAAGATTTCTAAGAGCCGTTATTACCAGAGGTTCAGTGAGAACATGGGCAGGGTAATCTCAAAATGGAGAACATAAAAACTGGGACTCCCAGGCCAGTCGCTTAGAAGACTGCTGCAGGAAGTACCAAGGTCATTAAGAATCAGTAATAATAAGTAATATGTGAATCCATTAGAATGTTGAGAAGTAGACCTGTGACATTTCAAAAAAATGTATACTCAGACACAGCCATATATATCGGTATCGCCAAGTTGGAAGAGCATCACAGGGCATAGTTTCATGAAAGCTTCAAAAAATATACTAATTGCTGGTAATATGTGAACAGAAAAGAATAGCCATGTTAAAACAGGAGTGCCTGAGAATTAGCTCTGTTCATCTTGTCTCCTAGCTGTAAGCACCCTAGATTCAAATTATGCACCTAGAAAACTAAATTATTGTGTATGTTATAGACCTTTGAAATGGATACACGAAAGTTAGTGAAATCGGAATGAATGTTTCGCCTGCCAAAGATACGTATTTTTGTAAGTGATACAAGGGCCCCATGAGCTCCGTGGCCACATCTGTACAAAACAGGCCCTCCTTTCGGGAACTGGTCTCGGGAGAGCAAAGGGGTCAGCTCCCTAAATGGCAGCTGAGACAGCCCTCCCTGGTGGCATGGCCCTGTTTCCTGTTGATGTGGTGATGGTTGGAGAGTCAAATTTTTTTTTCCAGAATTTGTGAAAATCATCTCTGATTAATGATTACACAAAAGCTTTTAAAATTTTTTTAAATTATTTCTTTCTAATTCTATAAATAAACTGTAGTTGTACAGCCACTGTACAGCTAACATTTCAACACTGGAAATGAGGCTGGTTTATTCCAGTTTGGCTCAGATTCTTCAGGGAAGCCCAGTTAAGACAAATAGCTCTCTATACTCAATCCTTACTTCGCTGAGACGATACAGGCCTGCCCACTCATTCCCACCTACTCTTCATGAGAAGTCCTTTATTTCTGCGTGTTTCCTGTTCTTTGGGACCTTTAGGAGCTACCCTCTACAGATATTGATAGTCTGTAGAGTCAGGAATACCATTAACATGTTAAAGTAGACTCTAAAGATTAGTTCTTTGGCAATAGCCCAGTCTGGACTTAGTATGTACTTTTGAAAATAAAACTGCTTATTTTTAAACTCTGTAATTAGGACGTTTTGCTATTTGAGTTATATTCCTTTCTAACTTCAAATGTCTGCATTCATGTATAATAGCCATTTTATGCACAGGTGAGGTGGTTCCCACACTTTTTCACAGATGTTTCATTACCTAGATGAGTGTATTACATAATAAATTTGAATAATGGTAGTCTTCCAAATGACAAAAAGCAAGCTAGTTGATTTGTCAATTTTGAGTTTAAATGTTTTGACTGCTTATCAGCAAAAAATTCAAAGAGTAGCATACTGCTATTAATGGAAATGCAGAGTATATTTAATTAGCATGATTTTTCCATGGATATGTGTGCTTCATTTGATCTTCTATTGTATGTAGCTCGTGATCACATTTTCTGTTGGTTAACGTTGTTCCTAGCTTATATGATGGAATTAAATATATTCTGTGTAAAAAGAGGTATGGACTAAATATTTCTGGACAATGACTTTCAGCTTTAGAAACTCTGAAAAAGGACCTGGTGTGGTGGCTCACGCCTGTAATCCCAGCACTTTGGGAGGCTGAGGCGGGAGGATCACAAGGTCAGGAGATCAAGACCATCCTGACTAACACGGTGAAACCCTGTCTCTACTAAAAATACAAAAAATTAGCCAGGCGTGGTGGCAGGTGTCTGTAGTCCCAGCTACTCGGGAAGCTGAGGCAGGAGAATGGTGTGAACCCGGGAGGCAGAGTTTGCAGTGAGCCGAGATTGCGCCACTGCACTCCAGCCTGAGCGGCAGAGTGAGACTCTATCTCAAAAAAAAAAAAAAAAACTGAGAAAGGGCTGGGTGTGATGGTGCACACCTGTAGTCCCAGCTACTTGGGAGACTGAGTAGGATTGTTTGAGCCTGGGAGGTTGAGGCTGCAATGAGCTGTGACCATGCAACTGCACTCCAGCCTGAGCTACAGAGTGAAATCCTGTCTTTAAAAAAAAAAAAAAAAAGGAAGAAACTGAAAAAGTGAGTCCTTCCCTCTCTGAAGGTGTTGGAGAGGGTGGACGTAACCAGCCCTGGCCACTCTCAGGCCACACTCTGCTGGAGTGCCTCAGGTTCCTCTCAGTTTTCCATTTCCACAGCAAGAAGTCAATCATACTTCATTTTACAGATGAGGAAATTCAGGCAGAGGAAGATGATTCAACATCCCAGGGTCACATAATCTGAAGTGGGAAAGTGCTGAGAATCTGGTCTGTTTAGCTCCAAAACTTGTTTTTTCCTGTGGAAGGGGACAGTCACTAAACATTTCTTTGAAAATCTACCAGCCTGTCTTATGTGGATTTATCTCATTTAACCTCCTGAATTAATCTGGGAAATAAATACCAGCCTCATTTTACAAGCAAAGAAATTCAATTTCAGAGATGTTAGATAGAGCCTGGCGCAGTGGCTCACACCTGTAATCCCAGCACTTTCAGAGGCAAGTGGATCACTTGAGGTCAGGAGTTTGAGACCAGCCTGGCCAACAAGGTGAAACCCTGTCAAAATACAAACCCCAAAAAATACAAAAATTAGCCAGGCGTGGAGGCACGTACCTGTAGTCTCAGCTGCTCGGGAGGCTGAGGTGGGAGAATTGCTTAAACCCGGGAGGTGGAGGTTGCGGTAAGCCAAGATTGTACCGCTGCACTCCAGCCTGGGTTCAAAAAAAAAAAAAAAAAATGTTAGCCCAAGCCCAGGGTTACATGGCTCCAGTTGATGACACAGGAATCTGAACCCAGGTCAGTGCAAAAAGTCTCACTCACAAGTCTGCTTAAGGGAGTCTGCAGCTGACCTGTGGACATGCGATGGCACTTACATTCTTCTGGTTTGCTTGAGGCCACACGTAGAAAAGTATCTATAAAGCCCTCACGTTAATGTCTCACATGTAGAGCCAGGTGGCCTTTTGAGCTTAGGTAGCTTTGTGCCTGTTTATCGTCTGGGCTTTCAAAAAGAGTTTGTGGAATAGGTATATATGAGATGTACATGTATTTCCTGGATGGACAGAAGCCATGACTCCCTATTTAGTATGGAACCAGGCAAGCCTGGCACTCAGTATTCAGTTTAGCACTTCCTGCACACAAGCAGGTTCATCTAGTCTCCAGTCCAGCCCTACAAGCCCCTCACATGCCCAGAATGCCCGTGGGGAACTAACACTCTGGGAATTGCCTGTAGACTCCATAGCCTCCTGCCACAGCTGAGTGTGAGTGTGGACCTCAGCAGCTGAGGAACTCTGCTCCAAGACTGCTTGGTGGAGTTCAGCAGCAAAACCCTATGTGACAGCTTGTCCTGTCAAAAACTTGCTCCTGCTCCCACACATGCCCCAACACAAGCTGCTTTTTTTTTTCTCACTTCTCATCAGGGGCATCAATTCCTCAATCCCCGTTCCACTTTGACTGCCTCTGCCCACTTCCTGCTATCTTCTTCCCCAACAGCCACATACTTCTGGAAACTGTCATGAGAATCTGTTTCAGATATTCTTCCTGGAGCACATTCGTACTGTATTCACACATTGCAGAGCACACATTCTGATCTTCAGTTCTGACCGTTTCTTCAGATTTACACACATCCTGTCATTTTCCACTCCCTATGCTCTTGTAGTCACCTCCTAATCACCCAGTTTTGTTTGTTTTTTTAGAGACAAAGTCTCATTGTGTTATCCAGGCTGGTCTCGAACTCATGGGCTCAAGCAATCCTCCTACCTCAGCCTCTCCCAAAGTACTGGGATTACAGGTGTGCACCACCATACCCAGCCCAGTTTTCCAGTTTTAACCCATTCTACATACCACTGGCAGACCGTCCATATACCACATTTTAGACTGTCCCTAAAATGTGGCCCTTTGAGTTTGGCAAACCCTGCTCTAGTCAGTGCCTGTCTCATCCAGAAAGGCAAGGCCTTGTGTCTGCATCTGAGGACACATACTCAAGCTGCTTCCTCTACTGGTCCTCTATCATCAAGTTTGGTTTTCTCCCACCAGTGGGTGTGATTTCCTTTCCAGTTCATCCTCTGGTCCTGATGTATTTAAAGTCTGCCATATGCCACTGCAGGGACTTTGCACGCAAACTGCTACTGTCCGGCTGCCACCCTCAAGAAGCTTAAAACCTAAGTGAAGGAAGGAGACATGGGCATATAGACGGATTCCAGGCACAAGGCTGCATATTGTTGTATGACAGGGCGCCAGATGTGCAGTACTGGCCCCTTCCCATTGTCCAGAGATTTTTTTTTTTTTTGAGACAGAGTTTTTGCTCTTGTTGCCCAAGCTGGAGAGCAGTGGCACAATCCAGCTCACTGCAACCTCCGTTTCCCAGGTTTGGGCGATTCTCCTGCCTCAGCCTCTTGAGCAGATGGTATTACAGGCACGTGTCACCATACACAGCTAATTTTGTTTGTATTTTTAGTAGAGACGGAGTTTTGCCATGTTGGCCAGGCTGGTCTCATACTCCTGACCTCAGGTGATCCGCCCGTCTTGGCATCTCAAAGTATTGAGATTACAGGCACGAGCCACTGTGCCTGGCCACAGATTGTTTTTTCAAGTAAAAACTAAGATTTTTTTTAGGCCGGGTGCGGTGGCTCAAGCCTGTAATCCCAGCACTTTGGGAGGCCGAGACCGGCGGATCACGAGGTCAGGAGATCAAGACCATCCTGGCTAACCCGGTGAAACCCCGTCTCTACTAAAAAGTACAAAAAAAAAAAAATAGCTGGGCGAGGTGGCGGGGGCCTGTAGTCCCAGCTGCTCGGGAGGCTCAGGCAGGAGAATGGCGTGAACCCAGGAGGCAGAGCTTGCAGTGAGCCGAGATCCGGCCACTGCACTCCAGCCTGGGCGACAGAGCGAGACTCCGTCTCAAAAAAAAAAAAAAAAAGATTTTTTTTAAAGCTGGATGTAGTGGCTCCTGCCTATAGTCCCAGCTACTTAGGAAGCTGAAAGCAGGAGGAATCCTTGAGCCCAGGAGATCAACACCAGCCTAGGCAGCATAGCGAGACCCTCATCTCCCCACCAAAAAGAATTTTAATTTTAAGGTTCTTTTATAAGGTGTTCTAAGGAAAAAAAATGTTTTTAAGTGTTCCAAAGTACCCACATATAAACACCTCAGAGTTCAAAGGCGGAGATTTCCACTCAGTGGCTAGGAGTGTCCTGGGAGTGTGAAAGTGAGAGCCTTGGAGATGGGGATACCAAGCTAAGGGAAGGGAGGGAAGGAGAGAAAAAGGGAGGGAGAGGGAGGACAGAAGGCGGAAAGAAGAAGGAGGGGAAGGAGGAGACGGGAAGAAAAAAGAAGTGGAGGGAAGGAGAGATTGAGAGGGAGGCAGCACAGACAGGCAGGCATTCCACAAGAGAATGAGAGCTGTGGCATGTCAAGTTGCTGAGGGGCAAATTCCCTCCTGGGATCAGTAGGTAGTAGAGACTGACTGAAAGGGAATGCCACCCTATAAGGGGTTAGGTTTTGTAGGGTGATGCTTACTCTCTGCCTCACGCTGTTCACATGTCCACACCACTAGTTGATGAATCTCCTCACACTGCTTTGAGAGTACAAAGACAAGTCCAGTAGCAGGGTGGAGGATGAGTTTGGGGAGGAAGAGAGCTTGGGATAGACAATCGGAAAATGAAGATCACTGGATCTTAATGAGATGGGGTTGAGTCTGGATTGGCATATCTTATTCTACTCCAAAGACATGTGACAGTTCTGCACCAACACAGCTGAGGAGAGAGAAAAAGAACCTCTTTTTTTTTTTTTTTTTTGAGACGGAGTCTCGCGCTGTGTCACCCAGACTGGAGTGCAGTGGCGCGATCTCGGCTCACTGCAAGCTCCGCCTCCCAGGTTCACGCCATTCTCCTGCCTCAGCCTCCCGAGTAGCTGGGACTACAGGCACCCGCCACCTCGCCCGGCTAGTTTTTTGTATTTTTTAGTAGAGACGGGGTTTCACCATGTTAGCCAGGATGGTCTCGATCTCCTGACCTCGTGATCCACCCGCCTCGGCCTCCCAAAGTGCTGGGATTACAGGCTTGAGCCACCGCGCCCGGCCGAAAAAGAACCTCTTGAAAGCAACAGCATTCCAACCATTTTTCCACACCAAGGAGAGTTACAACCCCAGAGTGGGTCAAGGCTTTGAGAGGACCCTGAGCCCTGAGGCCTTGGCCCAAGAGCAAGTCCTCAGAATTATGCCATAGTCTAAATTGCCACTTGCCAGAGGAGAATGGGAGCCCTTTAAAATTCACAAGTAAGTTGTTCTTGGGATAAATCCCAATTTGTTCTTGTCTGCTGATACCTTCATCCTTCCTTGGTCAGGAAGAAAAGAAAATAAAACTTCCTGTTTCTCCAGTACAGTCCAGAGATGACCAATCACATTTACCCACTTTTTTTTTTTTTTTTGAGACAGAGTCTCACTCTGTCTGTCACCCAGGCTGGAGTGCAGTGGTGCAATCTCGGCTCACTGCAATCTCTGCCACTTAGGTTCA